CTTCCCAGCTCAGGTCCTCTACCAGAAGCCTGGGGGCTTGAGGATTCTGTGCAGTACCTTAGCCGGTCCTAGAACTGCACTTTTCTGGACTGAGATGTTTGATGTTTTTCCCGGGATCTGCTTTAGCCATTCCTCCATATTGGGGGTTATTGCCGTGATGACCACGGGCACCACCAATGTCTTCACTCTCCAGTCTTTCCCAAGTTCTTCTCTGAGGCCCTGGTACTTCTCTAGTTTCTTGTGTTCCTTTTTCCTGACGTTGCCATCACTTGGTATTGCCAAGTCAACCACAATGGCTGTCCTCTGTTGTTTGTTCATTACCAAAATGTCCGTTTGGTTCGCCATCACCATTTTGTCGGTCTGGATCTGAAAGTCCCACAGGAGCTTGGCTCTCTCCTGAACCACCTTAGTGGGTGTTACCTACTACGACTTTGGGGCTTCCAGTCCATACTCTCCACAGATATTTCTGTACACTATGCCAGCTGCTTGGTTGGGGCATTCCATGTATGCTTTCCCTGCCAGCATCCTACACTCTGCAGTTATGAGGTGGATTTTCTCAGGAGTCTCTTTGCATAGCCTACACCTTGGGTCTTGTCTGGTGTGGTAGATCTTGGCCTCTTGCTCTGATGTTCAGGGCCTGTCCCTGTGCAACCATGATGACTGCCTCTGTGCTGTCCTTATATATGTGTGTGTTTAAAATAAATGCAAATTTGTATTTTGATACCGGAAATGCGTTTCAAAATAATGGAAGATGTACTCACAACAAATAGTTTTTACAATTGGTAAAGAAATTACTGTGCAAGGGAAAATGTCACAGTTGCTTTTGTGTAGTATGACAACTTGTAAAAATCTGCACACCCAAATATTCAAGAACATAGAAAAAACTTTAGGCATTTTAAATACTTTGAAAAGGTTTGATCAAATACTATTAAGCAGATAATTTCTTGTGTCATACAAATTGTAATTTACCACAATAGTTAATTTATGCCCAATTTACCTACTTAAAAGAACAACTTCACTATTTTCTAGCACTTTTCTCATATGTAACTTTGTTTGCACCTCTGACAACAGAAAAGATATCCTGAGAATGTACTGTGGTGTAGTGTCCAGCAATGGTCAGTTTAGGGAGAGCCTGACCTTTCACCATCTATTCAACATTTGGTCAGAAAGGAGACACAACATTGCATGTTTTCCCTTTAAATGAGTCTGCCTTCATACCAGCTGGGATTCACAGACTCTGCAAGTCTGAAAGATAAACAATAACTTTCTTTCCCAAGGTCCCATCTGTCTGCCTCCACAGAAGAATCAGTTGCTAAATTCAAGAATGATTTACTAAATCAATATGAACTTCTTCTATGACTTATAATCTAGATAATCATTAAATAAACATTTGTTTATTACTACTTATAATAATTCTAGTATAATGAAATGCTTAATTAATCTGTGCTCACTGAATGGGTGTTATTTGTATCTACTAGAACCTGCCATGTCAACATGTTTTGACGACAAGGTCCTCACACCTGCATCCACACAATAACAAGTACGGTTAAGTTATCTACAACACATAACTTGACCTTTTTACCAGTCAGGACATCCGATATCAAAGAAGGTGTGTTTCTGAGTTGTCTAGGCAAAACATCTCCAAACTTGTCAGCTTCTGATTGGCTGTGCAAATCATAACAGCTAAACCTTAAAACTAGACCATTCTGAGAGATTCGACAGTTCTAGAGAATCGCGCAGACCGGCCATATGTAGCAAAACCTCTTTAACCATCAAAGATTTTGACACGTCGTCAAAACCTTTTTGCACCTGCAAAGCTGATGAGCAAACAGTTCCTGCATAAACAAAGCTGATATTGCTAAAGCTTGGTTTATGCTTGACGCATTCACTTTCCGCGCGGTGATGCGGCTCGCGGATGGAACGCGCTTCACAACTCGCAGTGTTTATGGTTCGTGCGGCTCGTCTCTGCGGTGAGCCAATATTCTCCCAAACTGTAGGGGGCAGCATGGAGCTCTACAACATGCATCCAACACTACACCATAGTAGAAGTAGAAATTACAGTTATGTGTTGCGGAGCCGTGCGGACGCGTCAAGCATAAACCAACCTTAAGACTCCTTAAAGGTTGGTTTATGCTTGACGCGTCCGCACGGCCCGCACGGCTCCGCGCGGAAAAGTTGCGTCATTTTGCGTCATTTTAACAACCACGCCCCTCCACCGCGCCTCCGCACGGCCCAGAATTTCCGCAACGCGCACCTCGGAAAATTTCTAACCACGCGGACGGACGGACGGACGCGGAAAAACATGGCGGACTGGCAAGAACTAGTACGGCAGAGGTTCATAAATACAGACATTTGTATGATTCAGCTCTCAGAGATCACCGTGATCAACATGTTGTTAATAATTCTTGGAGAGAAATAGCTCGCACTTTCGGAAAAGACGAGAATGCTGTTAAAAATGCTGAAATGCCATGTTGTAAACAGTAATTTCTACTTCTACTATGGTGTAGTGTTGGATGCATGCTGTAGAGCTCCATGCTGCCCCGTTCAGTTTGGGAGAATATTGGATCACTGCAGAGACAAGCCGCATGAATCATAAACACTGCGAGTTGTGAAGCGCGTTCCATCCGCGAGCCGCACTACTGCACGGAAAGTGAATGCGTCAAGCATAAACCAAGCTGTCCGCCAGACGCACGGTTCCATCCATCTGTTGTGACCCGAAACATCTCTGGACTGAAGAGTCGGTACCACGGTATTCTACAGCTCTCCAGTGCCAGAGGTCAGCCGACCCCTGCGACTTTCAAATCCACCAAGAGGGTCTCTCCAAAACGGGTGAAGTAGACATGACAGATTGCGTCTGAATGTTCTCCTGATGATAACAACTTTATAGCTTAGAGCAAGCCAAATTATTTTCACCAGAACTCAGCTTATTTTGATAAGGAAGCTCTGATTGACACCGCATTCACACATAGGTGCCTTCCTCATGTTTAGTTACACCCACTCACAGTAAATGCTTAATTAGTCATGTTTAAATTTGTAAAATAAATTCTTACTTTTATAAACCTGACTCCTTCTTGAAGTAACACGAAGTGTGGTTGATCACTGAAAAGGCAAAGAACCTAGATCTTCTGAATTTAATCCTACAATCTTCTGATTAATTACAATAAAGAACCTAGCAGGTTAATATTTTATATTTATATAGAATATTACATCTTCCTGGTTATAACAAATAAAATCATCAAATTTCCCTTCGCTACAGTGGGATGTATAACATATCCAAGTAATTTTAAGACTGACTATAAAAACAGCAGCAAAAAATGTGCATCTTGTTAGAATTTAGAATTAGGTGTGCACAGTATTTTTGTCTTTTTTTTTTTTTACAACATCCCATTTTTCCTGAAAGCTGGAATTCTTACGGTTTTAGTAAAGAAGTCTAAATATTAAGGATTAAATTAACAAGTTAAAAATGCAATGTGTATTTTTTACCATTAATCTCTGGAAATATCCATCAAAATGTAGTTGAAAGTGAATTAAATGATACCAAGTTGTGGAAAAATATTGGCGGCTTTGTAAAATAACCATAAAAATCGGGTCTGAGGTACATGGGAGTGGGTCTAAGTCCCTGGGTAACTTCATATTAGATGTCATGTTTCCTTCTATGGGAGCCCATAATGACAAAACACATTTACTGATTCGTAACAAATGGATACAAAACTTTTGCCATTCATAAACTTTGTTTTATACATTTACCTCTTCACTAGTTGCCAGTGATTAAAGGGAGTCTGATGTTCTTGTCATTTTGCTGGAAGTTGCGCTGCCAAAGATTTTTGACCCTAATGGCCATCCATTATTAAGGTTTAACTTGAACAAAAAGAAACTACTTGCTTGCAATGATTTAGGCATGTACTGCCCCCTACTGTCAGAGAAAAATATATGTCACTTTAAGGTTATAGTAACTGCAATGTTAAGCCTGATTTATACTTCTCGGTGAGCTCTGCAACTTATGGGCCATTCCCATCTGTACCGGGTCGGCCCGGGCCGGGTAGCCCCAGTTGGCCCCAGCCTGGCCCGGTTGATTCCACACATCCTTGCCTTAAGCCCATGTGGGCTGATTCTACCCACCAATCAGAGGCTTGCTCTAATGGAAGGTGTGAATTTGCAGTCAGCAGTGGGTGTGTTGGCCCTGGTCGGCCTGAAGCAGACCCCCTCGAGAAGAGGGCTGAGAATGAGCCTTGGTTGGCCCAGAAAAATACCAGGCCACCCAGATATGTAAACAACCTACGCTACCCGGCCCGGGCCGACCCGGTACAGATGGGAATGGCCCAAGAGAGATGCACACGGAGTGTCAGAAAGGTTTTTACATGCAAACTTCTACGGAGGCAGCGGAGTGTTGCAAAACAATTCCACGACAACAGAAGCCGTAGTGCATTTCTGTGATATCCTGCCACCATAACACTCATGTAGTCAGTTCATAATAGTGTATTTACTAATGTGTTTATTTATTTCAGAGACTTCAGGACATGGACAGTTTTGTCCTTCATTCTCCTCCACCTCTTTATGCGGTCACCATCACGTTTCCTGTAATTTCTGTCCACATTCATATTTTCAGACTTTTTCCACAATGCGTTCTTCAATCTGTTTTGGCTCTGCCACTAATTATCTTTTTACTTTTTAATAGAGCAATGGCGGTGCTGGTGATGAACATACAGGAAGCGGCGTCCTGACCAATCACAAGCTTGCAGTCTCGGTCACTTTTGACAGATGTTTAAAATTTTGTGCATGTCTCGGTCACCTTCTGTGAGCCCGTCGGAGGCCTTGCGCCGATGTATAATGGCGTTACATGTCTCCACACCAATGCAGAAGTATCAATCAGGCTTTAGGCTGAGAAAATTAATATCTATTTCATTAACACTCCATTTTGTTTTGCATTAGTGCTAATTGAAAGTAAAAGCTACCAGTACAACTACAACAATAGCTTATCCTCCACATCTTTATTGTGGTACCTGCTGACATCTTCGTCTTCATCACAAACATCACTGTCTCTGGAGTATGTGTCCTCTGCTGTTTCGGCTTTTGGCAGACGTGGTTTTATGATGTGGCAATTTCCATCAGCAAATGTAACACTTTCTGTTTGACAGCCTGAAAAGGTGCAAAAATAGTAACAATATTAAAAAAATAAAAAAATAATAAAACATTCCAAACCATTAATTTATCAGTTGGCTGGGAATATGTGAAGAAGATTGGGTTACTGTAGCCAAGCTTGTGCTTCTTGAGTATTGTCATTTATAAGCATTCCTTTTTCCACTCAAGCCATAGTCTAAATGTCAGCCATATGCTTTCAAAACACGTGTCATCGTTGTAGTCTATGGGATAGGAGTTATCTGTTCTGAACATGCTAACCTTTGCTTTTCCATGACTTTTCTCCAACAACATTCACACTTCCTGTGAGGCCAGGTTGCACTTGGTACGGTGTTGCTGGTGCTGTATATAGAACCAAAGGGGTTACGCAGAAAGATGGAACAGACAGGGGTGTTTGGTGGAGCTCTGGTGGCAGCTGAAGCGTCGTCGGTTGTTGCGCATTTCCCTCTACAACTTTCGTGTTTTGATTGGGAGACTCTGGAATCTGAATGGAACTTAAAACAATTAGCTATGTAGCTTTGTCAAACAAGCTTTCCTGAAGAAAAACACAAAAAAACGGAGTGAATAACATTTATATTTACATAAAAAAAAATAAGACCAAAGATTTAACGAGAATATTTATCTCTTAAAACAACCAACCAACAAGCCAATCCCTTTGTAGATATGGTCTTCCTTGTGTTTTATCAATAAAGGATAAATACGATAAGAACAAAAATTACATTTTCAAATTAAGCTTTGGAGAAACAAACTGAATAATTAATACATGCAAGCACAGCTTACCCGAGTAGGCTCTATCCCCCCAACTGCAGCTTGCTGTGGTTGATCCAAACTTCCCGCATCATGTGAAGATGTTTCCTCAGTAGGATATATTGTTGGGACTTGAAACTCATCTCTCAGTTCCAACTTCTGAACGGAACGCATCAACCAGGCCGCGTGATTTGCATAACAGCTTGGCTCGAAATGCTCACTACAGATCTTCTTCCATGGAGAGACCTGACCATCCCATTCTGTGGTGGTCTTCTGCACAAACTCTTTCCACACTTTTACGGTCTCCAAATCTTCTGGAAACTGATGCAGGGTTCTCACATAAGGCTCTGACTTTTTGCCACAGCCATGCACAATACAACTAGAAGGTTGACTTTGAAGAGAAAAAAAAAGAAAAAAAAAATCAAAGATTATGCAATGTTAGCTGTAATTTTACTAAACAACCAATTATCAACTGTCTGTTTCCTCATGTGGGATGTTGCTCTGAGTGAGGAACATCTGATGAAATCTGAGTTTGTCCAACAGGTGGCAGTCTGGAACAATTCATTTGAACTCAAACAGAAAAACATATATTTATTTCTCATTTTGTGACATTTTGATTTAAGTAAGAGTTTGTAAATCAACCTTTTCTTTAAATGTATTCTTAATTTGTTCAATCATGCAAACATCAGTGCAGCACATGAAAATAGAACTTGTACATTGTAGTGATTTTAATGGGAAATTTTCGTGTTTGTGCTTTTATTGTACACCAACAGTGCATACAGTGCAATTTAGAGTTAGTTATATAAACACTTGATTTGATTAGCGACACAGTTTTACAAAGTTTAGACTGTTTTACACAATTGTAGTAAATTACACAAACAATATACCTGATGTGTAGACACGCTAGACAAGCAGCCTATAAATGTTGCTATTATGATATACGGTAAGGTGACCATAATTCCATTTCCAAAAAAAGAGGACAGGAGATCTGTGCCTACCGATGACATCACACTAAAGTTGGGCGATATGGCCTAAAATCAATATAACGATATATTGAGGATTTCATCTCAATAACGGTAAATGGACGATAACTACAGGTATGCGCAGAAAGTTGTCCACTAGATGGGGCTGTCACATGTATTACGTTGAGTCACACTTTTAGACTCAAGGTGGTACAGCTTCTTAAAGGGACATGAACGTTGCCAACCTACACACATCTTTTCATTTTTTATAATCAAATTTATTGACATGGGAAAAATGATCTCCATAAGAGTCAGAATTTTTGATAACGATACATTTTCGATTTATTGCCCAGCCCTACTTTGGCAAAACCACACAAACCACGTTGGGACCCATAGATTTACAGCTAAAATTAATATCAGATTCTGCCAATAAAAGGCCTCTAAAACAATTCATATGTAAATATTTAGCATATTTATTGCAAAATCAAAATTTTCTGCTGCTTTATTGCTGCAACAATGTTTTATTAATAAGATATTATACCTTTTGTTTTACTACAGCATTGGTAAGCTTCCTATGCACAGATTAATAAGGATGCTTTTAAGGAGGCAATTTTTTCACTGATCTAATTGGTCTGTCCCCCCAAAAGTAGAATTAATATTTCCTTTTATTTAAAGCCAGAGCACCTGAACTTTAATATCCAGTCTGATTCAAGATAGCCACAACAGCTGATTAAGTTAGCAAACACAAAAATGACAATAACTCAGGTCGTGAACGGATGAACATGTGGATAACAAATTCCAGTTCAGAGTGCGATAGAACTCAGCTTAGCAATGTTCCTGAGATGAAAGAAGGAGGAGCGAGCAATAGAACTGATGTGGGAATTCAAAGTTTGTGCTGGGCCATTGGTCACACCAAGATTCCTGGCAGAGGGTTTGATGTAAGAAGCATGCTGACAAAGAGAGTCTCTGACTTTGGAAACCATCTTGTCTGGGGAACATATGAAGATCTCAGTCTTCTTCAGCTGTAGAATGTTTCCAGCCATCCTGGTTTTAATAGAATCTAAGCAAGTGTGTAACAGCTGCTGCTTAGACATATCATGGGGCTTAAAGGTGTACAGTTGGATGTCATCTGCATAAAGATGGTGGAAGTTTCCTTTAAAGGAGCCAAGGATGTGCTGGAGAGGGAGCAGATGAAGGAGAAACAGTTGAGGTCCCAAAACAGAACTTTGTGGGACACCATGAGCGAAGACCAATACTTTGAAACAGCCACAAAGAAGGAACGCTCTTACAGACAACTGATCCAGGTACTTCACACAGTAAACATTCCAATTCCAATACAGTTCAGTTCATTAAGCCAATCAATAAAAAGTTTCCTCTATATAAGGAACCCAGCAAATTGTAACATCTTAAACAACTGATATGGCGTAAAGTTAAATGCCACACTAATCGTAAACTGCAATGCACAAAAGCTAAAAACCCCTTTGTTCCCTTCTTTTCTTCCGCAGTTACCTATAAGTTTACTAACGTCAGTTCAGATTAAGTTAGCATTCAAGCTAAAGCTACAGCAGCCAATGGTAAACACAGCATACTCTTATTTGCTCTCTAACATTTCTTTTGTTTAAATAAAAAAATTCAGCTAAAACAATCTTAAGTACAATCAATTACTTATTATTTACCTGTCCAAAAGAAACGTTGCCAACTCTTCATCCGTTTTGAGGCTTCGTAGATAACAAAGGTGTCTCCATCTTTAAAAAGCGTCTCCGATGTAAATTTTGACTCGGCTGTCTTAAATGTCTTTACAGCTTCTTTTGATGAAAGCCCTTTAAATGTTTTAAATTTTGTTTTAGATGTGGAAGGCAGTCGAGGGATCAGTAACTTCTGGGTTTGTGTTGCCATTTCTTCTACTACTTCAACCACTAAACTGAGTGATGTGCACGCTGGTGACTGGTACGCGTTCTCTTTGACTGACACGCAATGCTATTGGTCAACGTGGTAGGCTCGTATGTTACTGATTCGTTTATCTGTAAAGGCCAAAATATGAAAGATTACTTAGTTACTTACATAGAACTGGGTCAAATAGTCAAAATTAAGGATTTTTAAAGTTACTTTAACAATTTCAACAATCATACCGCACCTTAGAGAGCATGGGGACAGAATAGGGACGATGGATTGAAAAGCATTTTTAAACAAAGATGAGGGTAAGATATCGAGGGGACTGGTAAAGGTTTTAATTGAGTTAACTAGTTTGGTTAGCTCAGGAAAAAATAACAGGAGCAAAACTATCTAGAATGACAGGCTGGGATAAATTTGGAACAGGCAGAGATAAAGCTGAAGGAGGGATACTAGATCTAACCTGATTAACTTTATTCACAAAGAAAGACGGGAACTCAAGAGGCTGTAGGTGTAGCAAGAGAGACAATACTGCTGATGGTGCTAAACAACGCTTTGAGATTTCCCTTGCACTTTGACACCAAGTTGAAGAAATATGCAACCCCTGTGTCTCTGATTGCAGAGTTGAGAGATCAGAAGATCCTTTAGATGCAGCAGATGGACATGGAGATGAGTTTTCTTCCACAAGTGTTCCAACTTTCCCACAGTGACAGATGCTGCCATTAAAACAAGGAGTAGGGTTTACTGCAGGAACTGATCTGGTTCTGACAAGACAGATGCTGTCCAGAATTGAGAGGCAGTGCTCGAGTGAGTGAGAAAATTAAAGAATGAGGGTCATTATCAGAAGACAAAAGTGGATAGAAAGCAGCTGGAAATTTGCCAGCAGTGCAAAACGAGAAGTAATTCAAATTCAATTCAAAACTACTTTATTAATCCCAGAGGGAAATTCAATAATGAGAAGGAAACGGGAAGTAACCAAACAGCAAGCAGGACATGGGGATGTAAAAATGGAAAAGCTGAAGAAAAAACAATTATGATCTGAAATATGAACATCCTCAGGAAAAACACTACCTATATTTAAACCCAGGGTGAAAACAAGGTCCAGTATATGCCCTCAGAGTGTGGGGCCAGAAACACGATAAGTAAACGTGAAGGAGTCCATGAGGCTGGAAAAGCAGCAGACAAAGTGGTCAGAGTCATCATCACTCGACTAAAATACAAAGCTACTTTAGTCGACTAAAATAGATGTATTTTTCTTCTGATGCAATAGTTTTCTACATGTGTAAAGGAAATGTTAACTACAGCTACTTGAAACTGTAAAGAAATATGAAAAATTCACATTTCACACTTTGGAGATACAAAACTCTATATTTATAAATGTTTCTATAACAATAATGATTGGAAAATACCTAAATAAACACTGACAGTTTGAAATAGTGCCTTTCAATATTAATGAAAAAACAAATCTATATTATATGCAGTATTATTTGTATGACAGGAAATGACACCATGCCAAACATTAAAATGTATTACTCTGAAGGTAAACTAAATGTAACAATTGTTTTTTAGGTGTATCTTTTGGAGTTATTATTAAACAGATTGATCAAGCACTCTCCCAGCACCCGTCCCCCACTCTACTGCACACTACATGTTTGCTTCCCTCTGATTGATTATGCTGACTCACTGCCACCTAAGATCGACTGACTAACGTTTGTTGTTAGCCTCAAGGGCAACCTGCTGGCTTGATTATCATCTGTAAGTTGCTTTGGACAAAAGCGTCTGCTAAATACATAAACATAAAGGTGGGACACCTGAACGTTTCTCATCACAAAAGCACCACTATAACACAGAATGCGATCATACCGGCTGTAGCAGCGCCACGAAAAGAAAATTAGATGGCAAGATCACTCTGATGCGTGTCAGCTCGCTGAGATCCAGCACCCCCTAACCCACGGGCATTTTCTCCCTTTTGACCTGGGGTGCCCGATCCTGGTCCTGGAGGACATATCCAGCAGGTTTTAGTTTTAAGCAAGCCCCCACAATGCGGCTCAAAAATTGAGGCCAACCCGAAAGTACCAAAAATTGCAGTTCCACCCTCATCCACTGGGGGCTGGTGTCAGAAGTGAGAAAATCCTCATCGACTCCCATGTTAAAAATACCAATTTCACAGCAGAAATAAACATGTTTACAGCCTGGTACCAAAACATGTTTTTGGTTTAAATTATCTAGTTTACACTCATAACAACTCTGAGGTGGGTGAATTTTTTTTCTCACTCTTCTGTTTAAGTGTATTAAAAGCCTAAAATTCTGTATAATTAATGAGCATCAGACCCACGTGACCACAGAGATAGCTCCGTGGAAAGGCCTCAGTAGAGCCCGATGGTTTTAAGTCTGCTTCAGTGCACCTGATTTTAATCAGCAGGTGATTAGCAAGCTTCTGCAGAGCTTCATGAGCTGCTGCACAGGTGATTCAACCTCCAAATCAAGTGTGTTGGAGCAGAGAAACCATAAAACCTGCTGGAGACCGGCCCTCCGGGACCAGGATTGGGCACCCCTGCTTTAGACATAACTTTTAATGGGCATAAACGTCAATGTATGATCTTTTGTATATTCATTCTGTATTTTTCTTCTAAATGCTTCAAGTTCTTTTGGCTGGGTTTAGGGTTAAATTAGGGTTAAGTTATCACAGGATAAACAGAGAAGGAAGTGGGTCAGGGTTAGGGTTTGTCATTAGCGACTAGCTCTGAAGAAGATCGCAGGAGTGATTGATACTATTAGCAAGGTAAAAAAATAACTTTCCTGTGTTTAAAAAAGCAAATTGCTTTTCGGGCTGCATGGTGGTGCAGTTGTTAGCACTGTTGCCTTGCAGCACGAAGGTTGCAGGCTTGAAACTCGGCTGCGGCCTTTCTGCGTGGAGTTGCGTGTTCTCCCCATGCATACATGGGTTTCCTCCGGGTACTCCGGTTTCCCCCACAGATCACAACATGCCCTATAGGTTATAAATTGTAAGTCGCTTTGGATAAAAGCGTCTGCCAAATAAACAAACATAAAAATAAACTTGTTCAAACAGCGGCCGGTGTCGGTACAAGATCTGCTCGGGTGCAAGATCGGCTCGGGGTCCGTCGACTGCCGATGACGTCAAAGTAGTTGATTGGCTGAACATGAACCTTATGGAATTACGTAATCACGTTACGTTGTTATCACGTTACCTTGGTCCAGGCAAATCTTTCTGTTGGAAAGATGGACAACTTTTACAAAGAAATCCATCATTACCTCTTTGAAAATACACTTTTAGCATAGAGCTGCATGTATATTAGGGCTGAACGATTAACTGCATGTGCAATTAAATTGCAATGTGACAAAAGGAGATTTTCTAATCGCAAAGGCTGCAATTTGGCAGCGAGTGGTTAGCGCAATGCTAATATACGTGGAAAAACCCATAGGAATGTTAATGCTAATATCACCGATTACATTATTACAAATTATGAATTAGAAACGTGCCAAATGATTACATTTGGAGTCTAATAGAAAGTAAAACTACCATCAATCAAATAAGTACAGACAGGTATTTTAGTGAAGCCAGAAAAATTTTAACTCCAGAGTTTTGGCTAGCAGCTATAAGCGTAACTGAACTACGCATGGACAAGACGTCAAAAACTAAACACAAAATACTTCAATAAATGGGACAGACTTCTTTCCTGCAAATACAATTTCACAGGTGTTGCTAATACCTATGATCCTTCAAGGGATGTGCTTAAAGAGGAGTTCAACATTATGAATACAACATAGTGTTTTATTTTACAAATACCATTATAAACACAAACTTATGTCTTAAGAAACATTATTTTAATAACAAAACTGCAAAATTCTTTCCAACAGTATAGATGTGTAGTGTATTTTGTCCGAGTGGGTTTGCCGTACTTTGACGTCATCGGCAGTCGAAGGACCCCGAGCCGATCTTGCAACCGAGCAGATCTTGTACCGACACCGGCTCTGGTTATTTTCTAGTCTAGTCCCACTTGTTAAATTCATGGTTGTTTTTTCTGGTTGCCCGTCTCCTCCGTTTTCTGATTGGATTTTCGTTTCTGTCCATTTTCATTGATGTCTCTTATTTGTCAACAAAAATATCAGTCAATATTTGTCATAATTTAGTCATTACTGGTGTGTATATTTTTGTTTAGTTTTAGTCCATGAAAATTCCTTCATCACATAAATAAATAAATAAAATATTTAGTCAACGAAATTAACATTGCACTGGGCTACTGAATCTGTTACAGATCAATGATCGAATAACATACATTTTCTGTGCTGGCCATTACAAATATCTTTGTGGATAGGATGCATGGTTTTTACAGCAGTGTTTGTCAGAATATCCACTCTGGTACCGATGGAGGTTCAAAGCAGTCACCTACGACATGAAGGTCTCATTCTCAACCACAGCATGAAATCAACAGCTCTATGCCTGCAACTAGGAGAAAGTGGGCATCAGTGACCTACTTCCAGGGAGGCAGGTTTTAGCTCAGACTAGCTTCAGGAAGAGGAGAAAAGCCCGATTATGAAAGTAGTTTCAATCGATGCAGTTCAGGACATTCAAAGTAAAACTATAAATATGCAGTTGATACAGGAAAATGCATGAATGCAGCCAAAAACGGGTTTGGGGGTATTTGTCATGAGGAAAGAAAAATATCACATGATAAAAAGCTCCAAAAAAGTGTTTTTTCCATGATATGGTTTCTTTGACAAAACATAATTTGTTTAATTACTACATAGATCGCAGAGTGTAGCTACATAGAATTTCAGTGATTTTGATGCAGAGTCTGGCTAAAATCTTTAATCAGCTGCAGTTCAAAAGAAGAAAAGCGACCTAAAGTGAAAAATGGTCTCCACCTCGATCAGAACCCCGGGGCTGAATGAAAATCCACTCGGGCAGAGTTCAATCAGACCAGTGTAATCTGATGTTTACTGTCAAACTTTGATCAAAACTAGAAAATCCTTTTTTTTTTGTGAGAATCTGATTCAATTCAATTCAAAAATACTTTATTAATCCCAGAGGGAAATTAGAGAAATAATTAAGCAGAAAGGACTTCTTGTTTGTGGAGCGGGTAAAGTCATGCTGAATGAGGCAAAGCAATCAGAAACTACAGAAAGAGCTGGAGATAGTGAAAGTAAGTTGAAATGGTTCGATCAACGGTGTTTGTAAAGTGAACTCATGGGGTAGGAAGAAAATCCACTAATGAATGTAGATAGACAGTATACAACAATTATCCACACTATTATTTCTTCTACTTAAATGAAAGTTGTTACAGTTCTCTAAAATATAGTAAACTGCTTAGCATTTACCTGTCCAAAAGGAATTTTGCCAACTCTTCATCGGTTTTGATCCCTTGTAGCTTACGAAACTCCCTCCATCTTTTTAAAACGCCTCCGATAGAAATTCTTTTCGACTTTCGAAAACGTCTGACGGTGAGTTTTGAACAATCACTTTTAGAGTGAGTTTTTTCAGTTTCATCTTCAGATTCAGGGTCATATATATATGGCAATATATCCGAAGAAGCCATATAAGCAGCAGTTCGAAACGGCTGCATGGCTACCCGGATACCGCACATTTACACTTGTTGTTTTTGAGACAGCGCCCCCTAAAGGGTGGATGTTCAACTGCAACTGCAGACTCAAAACATGCCTGTTCACGTCAACAGGTTTGTAAATTTTTATTAGAAGTTAGAAACTTACAAGTACAATTGTATTATAGCAACATAATGATATAATTGCGGAAAATATTAACTAATTGATCAAAGTTTTGTTTCATATGGTCTAACTGAAATAGGTTACTATGTGTTCCTACCTTCCTACATAAAAAAATTACTTTTTTTAAAGCACGTCCTTCTGCTGAACTGCTGAAGTTCCATGTGAACTTTTTTATTAAACTGTTGTTAGGAGGATACAAACAAAAAGTCCTGAGGAACTATCATTAATAATGACAAATTATATATATATATATATATATATATATATATATATACTTTATTAATCCCAGAGGGAAATTAGAGACATGATTAAGCAGAAAGGACTTCTTGTTTGTGGAGTGGGTAAAGCCATGCTGAATGAGGCAAAGCAATCAGAAGTGTACATATCTCTAGCACATATGTCAATGAATCCATATTCATTGACAGTTTTCCAGTGGAAACAATAAAGTTAATCTTAAATTATCGTTACGGGCAAATTTTAAATTAAAAATAGTGCTATGGACCTGTGTATGCAATTTTTTTGTCTGACAGAACAGATACTAACCACTCAGACACTGGTTTAATTGGAGATAACCGATGAGAAATTTTAGCTGCTGTTCGCTTGCGGGGTGTTGAGGTTCTCTTCAGATTACATCCCCGAGTTCCAGTTTCAGGAGGTTGCTTCTTCCGGTAGCTAGAAAACAAATGTTTTCGTACAAAAATGTCAACAGTTGGTTGTGACTCTGCTCCCTCTGTTCAGAAAGATCAATTATGGTATGTCATTTTACCTGCCACACTAATAGTAATATCAAAATACATATCTCAGTCAGTAATGTATTCATTTTGTTTATCACTTTCACAAACTGTGATATTTTCACTACAAAAGAATCTACTCATGCAGGTTGTGGAACTTTGCTGGTTTGAACCCTTTGATGCATAATGGTCACTACAGTAGACAGGTACTCAAAATAGTTTTTATTTATTTTTTGCTATTAAGCACAGCTGTTGAAGACTTTATTGCATTTGAGCCCCTCCATTTGGACTTCAGTAAGTCAAGCCAACATATTTCATGTTCAGAATGCACGCTATCCACTAAGGTGGACATGTAAATTATTTGTAAATTGAATTTTACACAAAATATTTATTGAAATTTGTGTCATTCACACTTAAAGATGAATGAAATTATTTAAAAAAAATCATGGTTGAAGACTTCATAATTCTTGCATCAAAGGGTTAATAGAACATGTGTTTTTCCCTTTTCAGCTCCTGGGCTAGCTACAACAGTAGTCCATCCTGCCTCCTGGTGGCACTACAGTAGACAGGTACTCAAAATAGTTTTTATTTTTTTTTTGCTATTAAGCACAGCTGTTGAAGACTTTATTGCATTTGAGCCCCTCCATTTGGACTTCAGTAAGTCAAGCCAACATATTTCATGTTCAGAATGCACGCTATCCACTAAGGTGGACATGTAAATTATTTGTAAATTGAATTTTACACAAAATATTTATTGAAATTTGTGTCATTCACACTTAAAGATGAATTAAATTATTTAAAAAAAAATCATGGTTGAAGACTTCATAATTCTTGCATCAAAGGGTTAATAGAACATGTGTTTTTCCCTTTTCAGCTCCTGGGCTAGCTACAACAGTAGTCCATCCTGCCTCCTGGTGGCAGGGAGTGGTATAACACAAACATAATTTATTCTGCCCTACATACCCCATAATACGTGAGGATTTAGAAAAATAAACGCCCACAAACTCGTGCACACACGTGTTTTACTTTGTATAAACTTTGTGTAGTTATAGAAACCTGTTGGGGCGACAGTGGCACAGGAGTTAAGTGCTCGCCCCGTAATCGGAAGGTTGCTGGTTCGAGTCCCGCTCAGTCTGTCGCTGTCGTTGTGTCCTTGGGCAAGACACTTAACCCACGTTGCCTGCTGGTGGTGGTCAGAGGGACCGGTGGCGCCAGTGCTCGGCAGCCTCGCCTCTGTCAGTGCGCCCCAGGGCAGCTGTGGCTACATTGTAGCTCATCCCCACCAGTGTGTGAATGTGTGTGTGAATGGGTGAATGACTGATTGTGTTGTAAAGCGCCTTGGGGGGTTCTAGGACTCTAGAAGGCGCTATATCAAATACAGGCCATTTACCATTTACCATTTGTGAGGAATTCTGTTCCCCTGAGTATTCTGTTTCCCTTATTAACTTAGGTAAATCAAGAGCAAACACTTCCAAACCCTGAGGATTATGATTGTCCATTATAAGAGGACTAAACAACCTCAAGAAAGATGGTTGAGTGAGATCTTGCTAACATAACTTTCAAAAATGATAAATAACTCTGCAGGGAAAGAGTGCAAAAGAACGTATAATGTTTCTTACCTGGCCACTAGGAAATGAGCCATGTCCGCATCTTTTTTCAGTCCCAGATCTAGTTGAAGCAACCTCCATTCCTCCAACGCATATCCGACACTTAATCTGGTCCCTGACCGTCTTTTATCATATTTGATTTTTGACTCACGAGATGCCGCTGATAAAACCTTCTTCTTCTTTGTGCCACAATTTAGTGGGCTTTGAGCTGCGCTTGGTTGTTTGTCGGTTGCGGCAGCATCCATTTCTATAGTTGAATTCACCGCGTGCATGTACTTGTTCTTCATAGAGTTTTGACGGTTGGCATGCAACGTTAAAGCGCATTACCGCCACCAACTGGAGTGAAAAGCAGACCGGGAAATTAAATACTACCAAATGCTAAATCCCCAAAGACTTTAAAAAAGTAAACAACATAAATTATTATAATACCAACAGCTAAAATAAATAAAGAACATTTTCCCTGTTTTGAAGCTGTAAAATACACACAAGCAGTGTCAGTTGACGTCACATCCGTAAAACAGCAAGCGGGAAATTCGGAAAATTCCTTATTTGTTTGTAAACAAAGTGGATGCGCGCGCAGCTTGCTAGCAGAAGCTAGATCTGGCTTCGTCTGGTTTCTTTGTTGTGGTTGCGTTGATTTGGCTAGCGATGTTGTCGGTGTATTATAACAGTTTATCCTCTAGCGATAAAACTTGCTAGGCTGCAAAACTGACATTAGCCAGGTGAGTGGAACAGCAATGAGAAAAAACGGCCCAAACTTCAGTGGCCGGACATCCACGCTTACCTAATCGACACGCCGAACCTTTATTCCCGGGAGAGCATTAGAAGTCCTACAAAACCCTGGATGCGTACAGCTATGTAACGGACAACCATGTTCAGGACATATTGCACGATTGTAATATTGAAAACTTTGTGGCTACGAAGACTGAGATGCTGCAGAGTCAAAGACAAGGGAAGAAAACAGATGTACAAAGTCTGGGTCATTGTAAACAAGAAACATAACTGCATTCTGACAATGAACTGCACCTGCATTTCTTCTTACGGCTCTTGGAGAGTACATACACTTTTTTCTCCTCTCCCTCCCTCTCTTATCTCAAGGCTCTTTGTTCTGTCTTGTGCATGGCGCTTTCTGCATTTTTTCTGGAAACTGGAAATGATTAAAATGGATCTGGTCAGTTGGTCTCTCAACGCCATTGACAAAATTCTTTCAATGAGAACAGGAGAAGGGGCTCTCGGATGCCCCTCTGGGACAGAGCCAGCTGGGTATATCATGGACTCCTAGAGACAGTGGAACCTGATATGCCTCTCTCAACTGTCTGTAGACGATTCTGAAGATGTCTGGATATTCGTGGATTTTAATTGTTTGGGAACGTTCGTTAGTGCTTTTGCAAGCTTGTGTGGAGAGACGTGCCAAACCCCTTCCCCGTGTCATCAGGAAACAGCTACAGTGCTGCAGCAGTAGCCTACCATGTAAAACACAAAGATATCACCAGTGTTTCTAAAGCTCATACTGATAGAGAATGGCGCTAAGGTTCATGTTTGACAAGAATCAATATATTTTTATACATTTAATCAGCTGATGAATGTATGTTTATATTTCTCTAGACAGATGGAAGGGAGTTAGTTAACTGTTAAATATTTTACAGAAGGAAACATTTTGAGGTACATATATCGTATATCAGAATTTAGCTAAAAGATATTGAGATATAAGTTTTGATCCATATCACCCAGCCCGACCGTTATCACAGTCCGGACTGTAATGTTCTGCAGAAAACACAATTCAGTTTATATTTATATTAACAAAATTTCCTACAATTTGAACTGAGCCCCTTTCCTTAACTTTTGCCTTTGTGTGTAATAAAATAAAACACCTTTTAGCCTAAAGTAAATCACCAGCTTTATTTAAATCAGAAAATACAAACAACTCCATACTTTTAAAGAAATGTTGGTTTATAAGCCATCACCCACCATTAATGTAAAAATGTGTTTATTTATTTAGATATAAATTAACTAAATGTGCATTTCAGACCAGCCATTTACAACAAGCTAAATTAGCTCTTAGCTTAGCCGACATGTGGTGATAAACAGCGTCAACCAAACTGATCACAAGAAAAAGTTTGTTTTGTAGTCAAATTTAACTCGACAATTAAATTTAGTCATAAAAGTTCTGTAGAAAAGTTACTTTGATGCCATTAAAACAAATAATGTTCAATACACACTTGTAATGCCTAGGGTTGGAGGAGGAGGAGGAGTAGGACCCAAAATGCAGATATCTAGAACGACTCGGAGCAGGAGAGGATGTAAAATTAGACATCTTTATTAAGATGATGAGTCCAAGAAAACCAAATGAGGGCACAAAGCCAAAAATTCCTAGAAGGGCAGAGCCAACAAAAACCTGGTAGGGCAGAAGCCAAAAAATCCTAGCGACCAAAGAGGGGGAGGACAAAACAACGCTGACATGTACAATGAACCAACACCACACTGGACGCAGACAGGGCTAAATACACTGGGGCAGGATGATTGGGAGATGAGCTGCATGTGAGTGGGGAGAGAAACCTAGTGAATTCAATTAACTAATCAGGGAGAGGAAAGTGAGCTGAGGAGGGGAAAATAACATGACCTTAGAATAAAAACAAAACCTAAAGACTAGAAGAGCAAGATAAATAACTAATGATCTAAGGAGGAAGGAGAACTAAAAAAACGGTGGTGAAAGAAACACACTAAAAGAGACTAATTAAATGAAAAGCTGAACCTACAAAGGGGTGACTAGGGGAGACCAACGGGAACACAGGACCTGGGGGGATACCTGGGGGGAGAACCTGGAGGGAGCTGTAGACAAGGGGACACATGAGGAACACAAGGAGACACATCAGGGGATCCTAGAGGGGGATGGAGAACACAATGAGACACATGAGGGAGACACAGACCATGACAGTACCCCCCCACCCCCCACCCCCAATGGGCGGATACTAGACGCCCACAAGGCAACAGAAAAACGAAAGACAAGGGGACCAGAGGAGTCTGGGGGGCCGGCGACGAGGAACCAGGAGCCGGGACCAGGAGGCCCTGGGGGGCCGGCGACGGGGAACCAAGAGCTGGGACCAGGAGGCTCTGGTGGGCCGGACATCGGGGAATCAAGAGCCGGGACCAGGAGGCCCTGGGGGACAGGCGACGGGGAACCAAGTACCGGGACCAGGAGGCTCTGGGGGGTTGGCGACGGGGAACCAAGAGCCGGGACCAGGAGGCTCTGGGAGGATGGCGACAGGGAACCAAGAGCCGGGACCAGGAGGCTCTGGGGGGGCGGCGACAGGGAACCAAGAGCCAGGACCAGGAGGCTCTGGGAGGACGGCGAAGGGGAACCAAGAGCCGGGGCGTAGGATACTCAGTAGACTGAGGAGACGAAGACTCTGGAGGAGGGCGAGGAAGGGACGAGGACTCTGGAAGAAGGCGAGGAAGGGACGAAGAGGCCGGAGCGTGATGAGGGGACGAAGAGGCCGGAGACACTGGAGGGAACTCTGGAGATGGGGACACAGGAGACTCTGGAGATGGGGACACAGGAGACTCTGGAGACGGGGACACAGGAGACTCTGGAGGAGGGTGAGGAAGGGACAAAGACTCTGGAGGAGGGTGAGGAGGGGATGAAGACTCTAGAGGAGGGTGAGGAAGGGACGAAGACTCTGGAGGAGGATGAGGAAGGGACGAAGACTCTGGAGGAGGGTGAAGAAGGGATAAAGACTCTGGAGGAGGGTGAGGAAGGAACGAAGAGGCCGGAGGATGATGAGGGGATGATGAGGCCGGAGCATGGTGAGGGGACACTGGAGACGGGGACACTGGAGAGGACATTGGAGAGGACACTGGAGACGGGTACACTGGAGAGGACACTGGAGCCTGAAGAGGGGACACTGGAGACGGGGACACTGGAGAGGACACTGGAGACGGGGATACTGGAGAGGACAATGGAGACGGGGACACTGAGGGCTGAAGAGGGGATTCTGGAGGATGATGTGGGGACTCTGGAGGCAGAGGGGACGTTGACTCTGCAGGCAGAGGGGACGAAGCCTCTGCAGGACTAGACTCCTCTGCAGGCTGGACCTTAGTCTTTGGCAGAGACTGCAGCGTGGACTCAGGCAGAGGCTGCAGCGTGGACTCTGGAAGAGACTGCAGCGTGGACTCTGGAAGAGGCTGCAACGTGGGCTCTGGAAGAGGCTGCAGTGTGGGCTCTGGAGTTGGAGATACCGCAGGCAGGGCCTCTAGGACCAACTGGAACGGGGCCTCTCGGACGGGCTGGAGCTCGGACTGAGCTGGAGGTGATGGTAGGTGGAGCTCGGACTGAGCTGGCGGTGATGGTAGGTGGAGCTGGCGACAGTTGCGACGTCGACAAGTACGGCCCATCAGAGGTGAAACGATGGCGCCGGCTGAAGCAGAGGACAAGGGTGAAGAACAGCCTACCAGGGACGAGGAGGCAGCGCTGTCCGGACCGGGTGGAGGTGTGGAGGTTAGGCCCCTCAGAGATGCAGAGAGGGCGCCTAATAAAACGGAGGGAGCTGACAGATGGCAGTCCACCGGAGAAATGTCAATAGTGCTGCCTGGGCCAGATGAAGGTGTGGAGGTGAGTGAAGAGGGTGGTTGTGGGTTGCAGAAGGCGTCTTGCAGAGCCTTGGTGAAAAACCAAAAATTAATCTCCTCTATGGGGTAAAGCTCGAGATAGCGGGCAGCCCATTGCAGGGCTCTACCCTTTAGGCAGAGCACCATAAAAGAAACTAAATCAATGTCCAAACCGTCCATGTCCTTAAAGCGCACACAGTCCCAAATAAAATTCCGATAGGTGTCCGGGTCAACCAAACTGATCACAAGAAAAAGTTTGTTTTGTAGTCAAATTTAACTCGACAATTAAATTTAGTCATAAAAGTTCTGTAGAAAAGTTACTTTGATGAGATTAAAATAAATAATGTGCTTCATGTTCAATACACACTCTCTGATTGTCATCCATGTTTACAGCTTGGTTTCCAGCTTGGTGATCGGCAGCAATCTGGAATTTGTCATTTTGTCCTGAAAGCGCCATTCTGAAATGCCTATGTGTGTTGTTTCAACTTTTCCACTTTAGCTGATTATCCTAGAATGTTTTCCATTATTTAAACACTTCTCTGTCACATACTGTAAGTCCCAATTTTATTTGCAGTTTTTTTGTGATTTTTACTTTTATTTCAGCTCATTTAACCAGAACATCCACAAAAGAGCAATTGTGAAGACTTGTGACCCCAAATATTGCTGGTTCACTGTGCGTATAAAAACACAAAAGCCA